AGTGTAGCAGTGTATGAACTAGTGTAGTAGTGTATGAACTAGTGTAGTAGTGGCGCGTATGAACCTAGTGTAGTGCAGTGTATGAAATGAACTAGTGTAGTAGTGTATGAACTAGTGTAGTAGTGTATGAACTATTGTAGTTAATGTATGATCTAGTGTAGCAGTTTTGAACTAGTGTAGCAGTGTATGAACTAGTTGTAGTAATGTATGAACTAGTGTACGCGTGTATGAACTAGTGGTGTAATGTATGGAAACTAGTGTAGTATGTAATGAACTAGTTTTAGCCAGTGTATGAACTAGTGTAGTAGTGTATGAACTAGTGTAGTAATGTATGAACTATTGTTAGTAATTATGAACTAGTGTAGCAGTGTTGAACTAGTGTGTAATGGTTATGAACTAGTGTGGTAATGTATGAATATAGTGTAGCAGTGTATGAACTAGTGTAGTAATGATGAACTAGTGTAGTAAATGTATGAAACTAGTTTGTAGTTAATGTTATGAAAACTAGTGTAAGTAATGTATGAACTGTGGTAGTAATTAATGAACTAGTGTAGTAGTGTATGAACTAGTGTAGCGTGTATGAACTTGTGTAGTTAATGTATGAACTAGTGTAGCAGTGTATGAAACTAGTGTAGTAATGTATGAACTAGTGTAGCAGGGTATGAACTGTGTGTAATGTATGAATAGGTAGTAGTGTATGAATAGTGTAGTAGTGTAGAACTAGTGTAGTAGTGTTATGAACTAGTGTAGCAGTGTAAGAACAGTGTAGTAGTGTATGAACTAGTGTAGTAGTGTATGAAACTAGTGTAGTAGTGTATGAACTAGTGTAGCAGTGTATGAACAGTGTAGTAGTGTATATGAACTGTGTGTAGTGTATGAACTAGTGTAGCAGTGTATGAACTAGTGTAGTGTATGAATAGTGTGGTGTAGTGTGTTGAACTAGAGTAGCAGTGTATGAACTAGGGTAGTAGTGTATAAAAACGAGTGTAGTGTGTTGAACTAGTGTAAGTAATGTATGAACTAGTGTTAGTTAATGTTATGAAACTAGTGTAGTAAGTATGAACTGTGTAGACAGTGTTTGTAACTGTGTATTAATGTATGAAACAGTGTAGCAGTGTATGAACTGTTTAGTAATTATGAACTTAGTGTAGTAATGTATGAAACTAGTGTATTAATGTATGATAGTGTAGTATGTATGAACTAGTGTAGTAATGTATGAACTAGTGTAGTAATGTATGAACTAGTGTAGTAGTGTATGAACTAGTGTAGCAGTGTATGAACTAGTGTAGTAATGTATGAACTAGTGTAGCAGTGTATGAACTAGTGTAGTAATGTATGAACTAGTGTAGCAGTGTATGAACTAGTGTAGTAATGTATGAACTAGTGTAGTAGTGTATGAACTAGTGTAGTAGTGTATGAACTAGTGTAGTAGTGTATGAACTAGTGTTAGCAGTGATGAAACTAGTGTAGTAGTGTATGAACTAGTGTAGTAGTGTATGAACTAGTGTAGTAGTGTATGAACTAGTGTAGCAGTGTATGAACTAGTGTAGTAGTGTATGAACTAGTGTAGTAGTGTATGAACTAGTGTAGCAGTGTATACCTAGTGTAGTAGTGTATTGAACTAGTGTAGTAGTGTATGAAAGAGTGTTTAGCGTGTCATGAACTAGTGTGTAGTGTATGAAACTAGTGTAGTAGTGTATGAACTAGGGCTGTAGTAATGTTGAACTATGTAGTAATGTATGAATAGTGTAGCAGTGTTGAACTAGTGTAGTAATGTATGAATAGTTGTAGCAGTGTATGAAACTAGTGTTAGTAATGTATGAACTGGTATGTAGTAATGTATGAACTAGTGTAGCAGTGTATGAACTAGTGTAGTAGTGTATGAACTAGTGTAGTAATGTATGAACTAGTGTAGTAATGTATGAACTAGTGTAGCAGTGTATGAACTAGTGTAGTAATGTATGAACTAGTGTAGTAATGTATGAACTAGTGTAGCAGTGTATGAACTAGTGTAGTAATGTATGAACTAGTGTAGTAAATGTATTTGACTAGTGAGTAATGTATGAACTAGGTAGTAATGTATGAACTAGTGTAGTAGCGTATGAACTAGTGTAGGAGGTTTTGAACTAGTGTAGCAGTGTTGAACTAGTGTAGTAATGTTGAACTAGTGTATTAGCAGTGTATGGAACTAGTGTAGTAATGTATGAACTAGTGGGAGCAGTGTATGATCTAGTGTAGTAATTTATGAACTAGTGTAGTAGTGTATGAAACTAGGTAGTAGTGTAGGAATCTAGTGTAGTAGTGTCATTGAACTAGTGTAGCAGTGTATGAACTAGTTGTAGTAGTGTATGAACTAGTGTAGTAGTGTATGAACTAGTTGTAGTAGTGTATGAACTGTGTAGCAGTGTATGAATAGTGTAGTAGTGTATGAATAGTGTAGTAGTGTATGAACTAGTGTAGCAGTGTATTGACTAGTGTAGTTAGTGTATGAACTAGTGTAGTAGTGTATGATCTTAGTGTTAGCAGTGTTATGATACAGTAGTAGTAGTGTATTGAACTAGTGTAGTAGTGTAATGAACTAGTGTAGTTAATGATGAACTGTGTAGATAATGTATGAACTAGTGTAGTAATGTATGAACTAGTGTAGCAGTTGTATGAACTAGTGTAGTAATGTATGAACTGTGTAGTAATGTATGGAACTAGTGTATAGCAGTGTATGAACTAGTGTAGTATCATGTATGACTAGGGTAGTAGTGTATGAACTAGAGTAGCAGTGTATGATAGTGTAGGTAATGTATGAACTAGTGTAGTAGTGTCATTGAACTAGTGTAGTAGTGTATGAACTAGTGTAGTAGTGTTTTGAACTAGGTGTAGTTAGTGTATGAACTAGTGTAGTAGTGTATGAACTAGTGTAGCAGTGTATGAACTAGTGTAGTAGTGTATGAACTAGTGTAGTAGTGTATGAACTAGTGTAGTAGTGTATGAACTAGTGTGTATGTATGAAACTAGGTAGTGTGTATGAACTAGTGTAGCAGTGTTGAAACTAGTGTGTAGTGTATGAACTAGTGTAGCAGTGTATGGATAGTGTTAGCAGTGTATGAACTAGTGTAGTAGTGTTTGAAACTATGGTAGCAGTGTTATTAAACTAGTGTGTAATGTCATGAACTAGTTGTTAGTAATGTATGAATTTTTAGTGTAGTAGTGTATGAAACTAGTGTAGTAGTGTATAACTAGTGTAGTAGTGTATGAACTAGTGTAGTAGTGTATGAACTAGTGTAGTAGTGTATGAACTAGTGTAGCAGTGTATGAACTAGTGTTAGTAGTGTATGAACTAGTGTATTAGTGTATGAACTAGTGTTGCGTGTATGAACTAGTGTAGTAGTGTATGAACTAGAGTAGTGTATGAAAAACTAGTGTAGTAATGTATGAATAGTGTAGTAAATGTAATGACTAGTTTCGTAATAGTAGTGTATGAACTAGTGTAGTAATGTATTGACTAGTGTAGCAGTGTATGAACTAGTGTTAGTAGTGTATGAACTAGTGTAGCAGTGTAATGAACTAGATTGTAGTAGGTATGAACTAGTGTAGCAGTGTGTGAAACTAGTATAGTAATGTATGAACTAGTGTAGTAGTGTATGGAACTAGTGGATAGTGTATGAACTAGTTGTAGCAGTGTAAGAACTAGTTTAGTAGTGTATGAAACTAGTGTAGTAGTGTATGAACTAGTGTAGGTAATGTATGAACTAGTGTAGCAGTGTATGAACTAGGTAGTAGTGTATGAATAGTTGTAGAAGTGTATGAACTAGTGTAGCAGTGTGTGAACTTGTGTAGTAGTGTATGAACTAGTGAGTAGTGTATGAAACTTAGTGTAGTAGTGTATGAAACTAGTGTAGCAGTGTATGAAACTAGTGTGCAGTGTATGAACTGGTGTAGCTGTGTGTGAACTAGTGTAGTAGTGTTATGAACTAGTAGTAGCAGTGTATGAACTAGTGTAGCAGTGTATGATGAATAGTGTAGTAGTGTATGAACTAGTGTAGTAGTGTATGAACTAGTGTAGTAGTGTATGAACTAGTGTAGTAGTGTATGAACTAGTGTAGTAGTGTATGAACTAGTGTAGCAGTGTATGAACTAGTGTAGTAGTGTATGAATGGTGTAGTAGTGTATGAACCTAGTGTAGCGTGTTATGGAAACTAGTGTAGTAGTGTATGAACTAGTGTACCAGTGTGTGAACTAGTGTACCAGTGTGTGAACTAGTGTAAGGGTTGTAGCAAGGCAAACATGCTAGCAACCCCCGCAATTTCTTTTTCAAGATAATCTGCCCAAAACATCTCTCACGTCGCAGGCCCTATTCAATTTCACTCTTTAAAATGTTAATTATAAATTTCTCGAAACATCTAAAAAACTTGTTGTAATTTTCAAAATATACCTCTTATAAATATCATACTGGATGAAGGCAAAAATTATGTACACTATGTACATTTATACAATGTCCTAAATGAAAAAAAAAAAATTATGGAATGTAATAAGTAATGTAAGCTGATCTCAAGGAATATAATAATAACCATGGTAGAGGAGATACATCATTATGTTACCTGAAGAATTGAGACACTTGTGCAGCATTTACTGAGGAAACATTTTGCCAGCCAATGACTTCTTCAATCCAATACAATGAGACACAAATAACCCACACATAGAAGAGAGGAGCTTACAACGGCGTTTCGGTCTGACTTGGACCATTTACAAAGTCAGTGTGACTTTGTAAATGGTCCAAGTCAGACCGAAACGTCGTTATAAGCTCCTCTCTTCTATGTGCGGGTTATTTGTGTATCGTTCCAGTCACAGTATTGTGCCTCTTTTGTAACAATACAATGAAGAACGGTGGACTGAAGAGGCCACTGGCTGACAAAACATTTCCTCAGTCAAAATTCCAAAATGTTGCACACGTATCTCATTCTTCAACCCGTGTGTTTTGAAAATCATTTTCATGACAATTGTCTTACCTGCAGGGCCTTGGTGCTTGGCACAGAGGAAGTGGAGATCCTGGTTGGTCTCTGTAAAGGTTCATGCCATTAATCACTCCACAAAACCCAGCACAACTAACAGAATTCATTGATCACATGCACTACAAAAAATAGCTTGGCCTCATTCATCTTATCAAGTTCAACTTTTGTTTTCTATGAAAAAGATAAAAGATGGCAAATGCTTCATTCTGATCACAGTACTTTAAAGTGAAACAGAATTCAAGGCAATGCAGTACTTTCAACGACATGCATGCATGGACTACTGAATGAAACTACTCTACAGTACCATGAACAGTGCTACCATAGTACTACTTCTAATCAAGTATAGTAGCATTTTTAACATGACACGTTAACACGCAAATGCTGTAAATTCTGTCTTATTATGAAATATTGTAATTTAAATTCTTAAAAGATGATTAGCTCCAAGAAGCTAGTTATCAACCTTAAACTATGAAAATACTAACATTAGGTACCACGTGATAAATGATGCAAACCCTGACCCGCACTTGATATGATGAACGAGTTTCAGAGGCATTTAAGATCTCTTCAAAAATATTCATGTGATCTCTATTACAAAAAATACAAGTGGCAGCTCTAAACAAATACACTTCACAAACAAATACAAATACTTGTTATGTACTAACACACACACACACACACACACACACCACCATCCCAGCCAATTATTGCAATTTCTATGTTGATAAAGCGAAGGGTACATATGTTATTTACAGAATGAATGTTGAAATTCAATGGAGTGGTTACTATCTGAATCAGAAATCACTCCATTGAATTGGTATTGTGATCAAGAATAAGTATCAAAGAAAATGCAAAATAACCATAATGAAAAAACAGTGAAATTTCAAGCACTTTTGTGATTTCTCACATTATTCTTTGATGTGAGAAATTATGAGTGCTTGGAATTTTGCTATTTTTTCACTATGGTTACTTTGCATATTGTGATCTTACTGCATCAAAGAATATATATACCACAACGACAGACAGGCCTCTCATAACATTTTTATTAGAACGCTTATCGCATTTTTTTTTAACACGTTGGCCGTACCCCAAAATTATTAGAACTTGGCTCCAGCCTGTGTTTAACCTGGCTAAAGTTGGAAGGAAATTGAAATGGGTTGGCTCTCACTTGGAAAATTTCCCTCCATGCCATAAAGTTGAGGGGAAATGTTAAATCAGGCAGAATTCCACACAGAAAATTTCCCTACATGTTGTAAGCATCTCCTGAGTGACGGTTGAAAGTGGTGTTAGGTGGTGATACATGGTGACAGTACTGGTAGGTGGTCATCGGTAATAAGACTGGTAAGTTTTGGAAGTAGAAGTGGCTACAATACAAAATATTATTGGCTTTAAGTGATGGTGGAAGGTGAAGTTAAGTGGTCATAATGGTGACAGATGGTGCTAGGTATTGATAGTACTGGAAGGTGGGCACAGGTGGAGGGGCTGGTAAGCAGTGGTGATAGTGATGGTAAAAGGAGGAGTAGATGGCGACAGTTCTGGTAGGTGGTCATAGGTGACAGGGCTGGTAGGCTGTGAAGGTGGTAGCAGCTATAATAAGAAATATTACTGGCTGCAAGTGATGGTGGAGGGTGATGCTAGGTTGTGATAGATGGTGCTAGGTGGCATTAAATGATGATAGTGATAAATGGTGGTGTTTAGCTAACAGTTAACAACCACATCTACAGTGTAAGGTATCAAAAACTAAATTATTTTTGACAGAAGAAACATCGTATAGTTATCTCAGATGTGCTGTTTACCTAACGTAGATAAGAGTCAGGTGATGAGGGTATCAAACGAGATAGATAAAGAAAAATTGGATATCAAATTGGAGGGAGGGAGTATGAAAGAAGTGAATGTGCTCAGATATTTGGGAGTAGACTCATCAGCAGATGGGTTTATGAAGGATGAGGTAAACCACAGAAGTGTTGAAGGAAAAAGGGTGGGTGGTGCATTGAGGTATCTGTGGAGATAAAGAATGTTATCCACGGAGGCAAAGAAGGGAATGTACAAGAGTATAGTGGTACCAACACTCTTATATGGGTGTGAAGCATGGGTTATAAATGCTGCAGCAATGAGGAGGCTGGAGGCAGTTGAGATGTCATGTCTAAGGGCAATGTGTGGCATAAATATTATGCAAAGAACTTGTAGTGTGTAAATTAGGAGGAGGTGTGGAGTTACAAAAAGTATTATTCAGAGGGCTGAAGAGGGGTTATTGAGGTGGTTTGGTCATTTAGAGAGGATGGAGCAAAATAGGATGAATTGGAGGGTGTATAAATCTGTAGTGGAAGGAAGGAGGGGCAGGAATCATTCTAGGAAAAGGAGGAGGAAAGGGGTAAAAGAAGTTTTGTGTGTAAGGAGCTTGGACATACAGCAGGGATGTTTGAGTTAGATAGGGGTGGAGACAAATGTTTTTTTGGGACTTGACGAGCTGTTGGTTTGTGAACAGGGTAACATTTTGTGAAGGGATTCAGGGAAATCAGTTAGCCAGACTTGAGTCCTGGAGACAAGAAGTACAATGCCTACACTTTAAAGGAGAGGTTTGGGATACTGAATGTTTGGCATGACAACTAAACTTTTGTACCTGCATGCCTCTGCAAAGACAGTAATAGTGTGAATGATGGTGAAAGTGTTTCTCTTTTTTGGATCACCCTGCCTCGTTGGGAGACGGCCAACATGTAAAAAAAAAAATACATATATATTACATAACACGATTTTTAAACAGAACGCTGATTTCAGGAACCTAACTGCCACATTATTTGAGGACTTGCTATACTAATTAACTGCATGCATTCATTGCTGATAACAGCATTTATATTCTTAGATATAAATTTTGATGTCTAAGAAAAAATTTGATGTAGAAAATATTAAAAGTTTTTGGTGTGTGCACACTTGAAGGTTTCAGAAGTCACTAATGTAAAGTAGATGCTGAAGCTATGAACCAGAGTGATGCAGTGCTGAAGGAAATTTTTGAACAGCATTCTGATTATTATTATTATAATCAAGGGGAAGCGCTAAACCCGGAGGATTATACAGCGCCTGGGGGGGGGGGATGTGGAAGGCATTCAGGCTTAATTCGGGGAACTGGAGCACAGATCCAATTCCCTAAATCAAGAGCCCCTCACCAACATCAAGGAACAACAGCATTCTGAAGAGCATGAGAAGTGAGCCGAGTCATCCTACCTTGGTGGATAACAGTTGATGTGGTATAAATCTAAATTAAGAACAGAATACCAGTGTTGTAAACCACAGAACAGGTGAGCAAATAAGTTTATTTAGGTACAGGTACATGTAAATACAGTAATACAAATTATCACACATAGTAAAGTGTGTAAATTACCCACCAGGATAACCCCCCAAAAAAAAGTCAGGAAAAGTGACTTATTTCAACTTGGGTCCTTGATACTTCCACTGGGGAAAATAGGGCTTGAACCCATGGCAACTAAGTCCTAAATGGGCCTGCTAGCCCATGTTAGGCAGGTCCTTCTCATATGCCTAACCCATTTTTAAAGTTGCCCAGAAATATAGGATAAACATCAGTTAGAGAAATTGTTTGGTGTTTTGTTTCTGCAAATGGTGCGCCTAGAACATATTCTCCAGGTTTTTAATTCAAAGATAATTATGGACCTGTACCTTAATAAACTTACTTATGAAGCAAACACTTCAATGAAAGAAATGCCAGTATCTCCAGCACAAGTACAAACTAAATTCTGTAATTGTGCTAGAGATGATAATAATGATCATCTTTTTAACACACCAGCCATCTCTCATCAAGGTAAAGTGACCCAAAAAAGGAAGAAACACTTTCACCATCACTCACTCCATCACTGTCTTGCCAGAGGGATGCCATCACTGCAGTTCAAAACAGCAAATATCTCCACCCCTCCTTCATAGAGCAGGCACTGTACTTTCTACCTCCAGGACTCAAGTCCAACTAACCAGTTTCCCTGAATCCCTTCATAAATGTTACTTTGCTCACACTCCAACAGCATGTCAAGACATAAAAACCACTTCCTTCCACTCACTCCTATCTAACATACTCATGCACGCTTGCTAAATGTCTAGGCCACTCACACACAAAACCTCATTTACCCCCTCCCTCCAACCTTTCCTCTTACACCCTTAAACTGTCTTTCCACCGCCACAGATTAATACACCCTCCAAGTCATCCTATTTTGTTTCATCCTTTCTAAATCTCCAAACCACCTGAACAACCCCTCCTCAGCCCTCTGGATAATACTTTTAGTAACCCTGCACCTCCTTATCTCCAAGCTATATATTCTCTGCATTATATTCACACCACAAATTGCCCTCAGACACAACATCTACACTGCCTCCAGCCTTCTCCTTGTTGCAACATTCACAACCCATGCTTCACACCCATATAAGACCATTGGTACCACTAGACTCGTACATTCCTTTTTCTTGCCTCCAGAGGTAACGCTTTGTCTCTACAGATGCCTCAATGCACCACCCACGCTTTTTCCTTCGTTAATTCTATCGTTCACCTTGTCTTTCATGCACATATGTTCATAATGCAATACAATTGCAAACAGACACTCCTAACAACGCAGAACAAACCACGTGGGGTTGGAAATCTTTAGCTCTAGATCTTTCGCACTTTCATGCACTGTCAGGAGCTATGTTATGTTGAAAGACAGCAACAGATAGGAGGGGAAATTCTCAGAGGCAAGACAGAAGGTATCAGTGGTAACCCTTGTCACAGAGTCTTCTTCCTTGCCTCAGAGAATTTCCTCCCCTATCTGTTGCTGTCTATCAACGTAGCATAGCTCCTGACAATGCATGAGAGTGCAAAATATCTAGAACTAAGATTTCCATACCCATGTGGCTTGTTCTGCATATAAGTTCATGTATATAACAGCCTACCAGTTGTTACCATTTCAACACTCACTAACATTCTCCATCTCATAAAGTCCATCATTCTAATTGTCACATAGATTAAGGTAGTAGCAACACTGCTGATGTACCTAATTTTGTTAATAAAAAATTCTCAAACCATTTTAATATAAATTAAAACACTCAGCATTCTAAAACAAACTCTTTGAGAGCAAAATACATACAGAAGTAGAAGCTTTCTTACAAATGTACTAGTCCAGGAAGAAAAAAATGTCCAGGAAGGAAAAAAAGGTCCAGGAAGAAAAAAATGTCCAGGAAGGAAAAAAAGGTCCAGGAAGAAAAAAAAAGGTCCAGGAAGAAAAAAAGGTCCAGGAAGAAAAAAGGTCACAACAACATGGCTGGAAAAGTTCACAGCTATAACCTACAATCTGCAGAAGAAAATTTACATTTTGGTTGGTCCTTGACCGTTGTCCAGTCATGAGCCAAAACATCATCGTAAGTTTCCTTTTGGTTTGTGACTTGCTAATACAGGTGCTCCTTGCTTCACAATGATTTGACTTATGATATTTTGACTTTACGATGGTGCGATAGTGATGCACATTCAGTAGTCATCAAATGTTTTTCTGTGTTTAACCAAATTTTCCCAAGCCCATTATGGGTACTAAATGCTCAAGTATGTCACCTGCTTCTGGTATTTAGTTACAATAATTTGTTTATTTACTTATTTGGTGACAAAGTTATTTATTTACTTATTTGGTGACAAAGTTATTTATTTACTTATCCTGAACCCATGTGGGTCTTTCAGCACAAGACATGGTGGAGGCTCGATCCTCCGTCTACTGAGCGAGAGAGAGACGCTCTTCCTATTTGTACTTGCCCTCACCTTCAAAAGGTGATCTTAGGTTCTGGAGGGGCAGCCTTAACTCACATTACAAAGACTTATTCAACACATGATGGGTCTTCGGAACATTACCCCAGTGTAAGTTGAGAAGCACCTAAAGAACAAAAAGGCACAATATCATGACTGGAACAATACACAAATAACCCACACATGGGAGAGAGAAAAGGAGCACCTGTACTCAAAGTCAGACCAAAACATGAAGTTTTCTCTCCAAACCTGTAGGTAAGCTGTGAAGACTAACCCACTTTATCTTAGTTGATAACCAGCTTATGCATCAACAACTTCTACCAACTACTACACAATACTTATCAGGTATTCCCCTACCCTTTCTCCACAGTATGAATCTTGCAGTTTGTTTTGTGTCCGGTGGCTGAATGGTTTAGTTGGGATGGATTTTGGGTGAGGTAGAGAAATGGAGCTTGATAAAGAACATGGTAAGGATTGCAAAGAATGCAAACTTAGAGAGAAGCTGGGCGATTCTTTGGTGATCGTTGGAGATGGTCGAGAAATAGTCACTATTGGTGGAACAGAGGCAGCAGATTGAGTTGACTGATATGAGAGAGATGGCAAGGATTTTGCAGAAACTGGCTGGGAATAATGAGAACAAGAAAGCAAAGAAGGAAATGGAGTTAATGTGGGAGTAGAGTGCCTGAAATAGCTAGCAGTGGAGCGGGTCAAGCTTGGAGGAGGAGAGCGGGAGATGGATTTTGGTGGTAGTGTTCCACTAAGCTTTGATTAAAGAGAAAGGAACTATGTTAAAAATATAACCACATCATATTCTAAGCTGCATCAATTTTAACCTCTAATACACACAAGATCTCAACTAATGAAAACAGTAAATTGTCATTAATTTCTTACCTTTGAAGAAACAAAAACAGAGTTTTACCTTCCAGTGACAGACATTCCACTGTGCAACATTCTCTAATACATAATAAATTTTAACGTAAGACCAGAAGGTAAAAAAATATTACAAATGTTCTGTATGTACAAGACAATGTGAAAAACTCTGAAATCCCTCGATTGCTTACTCATCATTCAGTGAACTTACTGCTAAGCATGCTGAAAATTCATAGTGAATGAACATAAAAATTCAATGGAGTAATTGGGATTCGCATCAGTGGTCTGGGAGGATGATAGGCTATTAGTCCCAGACCAGAAATTTGAATCCTAATCATTCTATTGAATTATCATTACATCTTTAAAGCACAGCAAGAAGTGAAGAGCAGTAGTAAGTAAACAGTAGTATTAAGAAGTGAAGAGCAGTACTGTACATCATCCCACATCACAGAAGAGCAGTATTGTACATCATCCCACATCACAGAAGAGCAGTATTGTACATCATCCCACATCACAGAAGAGCAGTATTGTACATCATCCCACATCACAGAAGAGCAGTATTGTACATCATCCCACATCACAGAAGAGCAGTATTGTACATCATCCCACATCACAGAAGAGCAGTATTGTACATCAGTCAGAAAGAACAAAGAACAATACCATGACTGGAACATTATACAGATAACCTGCACATAGCAGAGAGAAACTTGTGATGCCGTAATGGTCCAAGTAGGACAGAAACATCATCATAAGTTTCTTTCTCCCATGTGTGGGTTATTTGTGCACATCATTCCACATCACAGAAAAGCAGTATTGTACATCATCCTATATTACAGAAGAAAAAGCATTTTCTGTACATTCTAAGTCAATTTCCTTCGTATAAGGCAAAATAACCTTCCACATTACTCAGCACTTCGACTGTATTACAGAAAAATACAATTAAAATTTTTTGCAATTTGCAAGGAAGACAATTTATCAATTTTTTATAGCGTGTTAAAAACGCATATGGACAGACAGCAGAGGTGTTATAGAAAGCATTCCTAGTTTCTCGGTTAAAGCAGAAGTTTACTGAGGAATAAAAGTCACAATACAGTGCATGGAACAATTCACAACTAGCCAGCACTTGGAGAGGAAACTCTAGATGACACTGTGGTCCCTCCTGAACTATTACTGTCAGCAGTTACGGCTCTGTAGTGCCATAATGGCGTGACAAAGCTCCTGGAGAGTGAAACGCTGCCACAATAAAATGTCGCATTAGTTTCACTTATGTCCCATTTACCTGACATAGTCGGTGATTTTACCAACATTATTAATAAGAAATAACCCAATTTACAATATACAGTGGACCCTCGGTTTTCGTGTTTAATCCATTCCAGAGCGATCTGCCAAAACTGAAATTGGCCAAAACCAAAACCATTTTCCCCATAAGAAATAATGTAAATCGAATTAATTCGTTCCAAACACCCAGAAGTATCAAGACATTTTTTTTACCTTAAAGATAGATTTACATGCACAAAAGAATGAACATTCAACATGACACTTACCTTTATTGAAGGCTGTTGTTGATCGATGGCAGACAGGGAGGAGGGGAGAGGGAAGAGAAGTTATTGTTTGGAAGGGGAATCCCCCTCCATAAGGACTCTAGGTACCAAGTCTTTATCAGGGGTCACTTCCCTAGCCACTTCTCTAGCTTAATTATAGATTTACATGCAGAAAAGAATGACAAATAAATATAAAGCACTAATAAAATGTATAAATGAACATTTAACATCACACTTATCTTTATTGAAGACTCTTGTTGGTGTATGGCAGAAGGAGTGGACGCGAGTTTATTGTTGGAGAATATGACACTAATATTAACTCTACGGCTTATTTATCTATCACAATTCAACTAATATGACATAATAAACAATAATAATAACACAGAAACATGACATATACTCTAGAATGAATAAAATAAGTCATTATGTATGTCACGACTGGTGTTGGTGTTGTTGGGTCTATATGGGCCACTGAGAGAATAGGCCATCCATAGTGGTGGTGAAGGCTGCATCTGAGGTGGCAGTGTTTTCTGTAGCCCTGTATAACTCCAACAACATTGGAGGAGTTAGTAGAATCACTGAATCATTGAAGAAGGCACCCTCTACCACTATCACAACCACTCTCACCCTCTACCACCATCACTACCACCCTCTACCATCACTACCACCCTCTACCACCATCACTAACACCCTCTACCACCATCACTACCACCCTCTACCACTACACTACCACCCTCTACCACTATCACTACCACCCTCTACCACCATTACTACCACCCACTACCACCACCACTTTCATATTTTTCTACAAACTTTTTCTTGAATTATATTGGGTTTCTCACATTCTTTACCAAATAGCTGGCACTAGAAACTTTCTTTGGGCCCATGGTGGCTTATTTATCAGTCACACACAATAAACAAGTGCCAAAAACAATGGATTATTATGAAATGTTTCGTATGACCTGGCAGGATATGTTCACTCACTGAGAAATAGAGCTACACTGGCTGAGAATGCGTGTGGGAGGCAGCTTTGTCTGCGCGCTGGGCACTGGACAGGTTCCTCACGATCAACAAAAACAGAGGCAATCAACGAAAACAGAAGCCAAAAATTGACTAAAAAAGTAGGGGTCCATTGTATAAAAGGAGGCTGCTCAAAAACTTTTGTTAAAATACGTAAATACTACTTATAGCATGAACAATTACACAACCTCTTTGAAGAACTTTTCAAGAACTTAAGCAAATTGCAATTAATAATTTTGTAAGACAATACAACAAATTATAAATATTAAAAAAAAAAAAAAGATCTATAGTTTGTTTAATACAGTGGTCCCTCAATAATCGTCCAGCCTGAAAGTCGTCCATTTCGGAAATAGTCCCGTTACTTCGTCTAAACATTGGCTCGCAAATGGTCCGTTAACTCGCTAATTGTCTTTCGTCCTGGACGCGTACTCACGCTCTGAGCTGCCTCGGCCTCCCTTCCCAGCCAGTGTGCCATTGTTTACCAGTGAGCGACGGTCCCCTCACGTGTTCATACGAAATATTTCATAATATTCCATTGATTTTAGTGCTTGCAAGTGCTAAATAAGCTACCATGACTCCAAAGAAAGCTCCTAGTGCCAAGCCTTTGGTAAAGAAGGTGAGAAATACGATTGAATTTAAGAAAAACATCATTGAACAATATGAAAGTGGCATACGTGTGGGCGAACTGGCCAGGATGTATAACAAATCCCGTACAACCATATCTTCCATCATAGCCAAGAAAAAGGAAATCAAGGAAGCTGTTGTTGCAAAGGGGGTAAATATGCTGACAAAAATGAGATCACCAGTGCTCGAAGATATTGAGAAGTTATTATTGGTGTGGATAAATGAGAAACAATTAGCAGGAGATAGCCTTATGAAGTTGCTTATTTGTGAAAAGGCTAGACAATTGCATGACGATTTGGTAAAGAAATTGCCTGCAACTAGTGGTGATGTGAGTGAATTTAAGGCCAGCAAAGGTTGGTTTGAGAGATTTAAGAAGCGTACTGGCATACACAGTGTGATAAGGCATGGTGAGGCTGCCAGTTCTGACAAAAAAGCGGCTGAAAAATATGCGCAGGAATTCAAGGAGTACATAGAGGCTGAAGGACTAAAACCTGAACAAGTGTTCAATTGTGACGAAACAGGCCTCTTTTGGAAGAAAATGCCAAAGAGGACCTACATTACTCAGGAAGAAAAGGCACTGCCAGGACACAAGCCTATGAAAGACAGGCTGACGCTCATGTTCTGTGCTAATGCTAGTGGGGATTTCAAAGTGAAGCCGTTACTAGTTTTCCATTTGAAAATCCCAGAGTGTTCAAGAAAAACAATGTTATGAAGAGTAAATTGTGTGTGTTTTGGAGATCTAATAATAAGGCATGGGTCACAAGGGACATTTTCGTTGAGTGGTTCAATGAAGTGTTTGGCCCTAGTGTGAAGAACTGCCTCCGGGAAAAAGAAAATTGGTTTCTCAAGTGCCTCCTAGTAATGGACAATGCACCTGCTCTCCTCCAAACTTGGATGACCTAATTCTAAAGGGGTTTTTGGGTTCATCACAGTAAAGTTCTTGCCCTCGAATACCACTCCTCTCCTTCACCCCATGGACCAGTAAGTCATTTCAAACTTTAAAAACCTACACCAAAGCAATGTTTGAAGGGCTTTAAATGTGACCTCAGCCCACTCACTTGACCCTAAGAGATTTTTGGAAAAAACACTTCAGTATTCTCCATTGCATAAGCCTTATAGGTAAGGCTTGGGAGGGAGTGACTACCAGGACTTTGAACTCTGCTTGGAGAAAATTGTGGCCAGATTGTGTCCACAAGATGGATTTTAAAGGGTTTGAGGCAGCCCCTGATGAGCCTATGTCAGTTGTGAACTCTACTGTGGCACTGGGGAGTTCCATCGGGTTGGATGTGAGTTTGGAGGATGTGGAAGAGTTGGTGGAGGACCACAATGAAGAGCTAACCACTGAGGAGCTGCAAGAGCTTCAGCAGGAAGAGCAACAGATCACAGCTCAGAATCTTGCTGCAGAGGTGGAGGAAGAGAGATGGAAGAAGGTGCCTTCTTCAGAAATTAAGGAGATTTTTGAAATGTGGGGTAGGATGGAAAAATTTATGGAGAAACATCACCATGAGAAGGATGTTGCAAGCCATATCGGCAACTTGTACAGTGACAGAGTTTTGGTCCATTTTAGGGAAGTTTTAAAGAGACGCCAGAAACAGAGCTCTCTGGACAGTTTTTTTTGCGAGACAGGACCCCAGTGACTCTCAAGGTGGTCCTAGTGGCATTAAGAAACAGAGAAGAGAAGTAACCCCAGAAAAGCACTTGATACCT